TATTCCCTATTTGTATCATTTACTTTGTATTCGAGTATATTTCTATCGATGCATTTCACTATAACATCCCATGTGACATCCACGTGACGTGTTTCTATTTTCACACATGTGTATGTCTCGTTCTCGTGACGTGTCCAGCTCAATGTAGTAGTATCATGATCCAGTTCTACGATTGGCTCATCTAAAAATAATAACAGTTGCGATATTATTTTGATGTAAATACAAGGCTTGTACATACAATGTTATTACGTAACAATCATTTTATTATTTGCTGATAATGATCTTTTCTGTACACAGACAGTGTTCATGTAGCGTGACATTACCATATTAGATACTGTTAGTTTCTTGTGCTCTTGGGCTATCATCATTATTATTATTGTATTGTATAATGATTTCATTAATTTGTCATATTCTGCTTGCATGCCCTGTTTGACCTTCAGTGTTGCATTCAGGAGTGCGGGTTATTGGCGGCCAATGGATAACGTCCAAGTTCATGGTATAAGCCCTTTTGGTGTTTTGGGGTGTCCCCAAGGGTAAATGAAGATAATTTATATGTACATCTTCAATTGGTGATTTTAGTGCGTTTTCCTCTCTCCAGACATCACTACCATATGTACGTATCTACCATATGGCTCGGCTAATACAAGACGTAAAGCGAGGAACTCGAAAACATCATAATGTTATTACTTCATCGATTTAGAATTACTGTGACCAATGATATTGAACTTTGCTCTTCCATAAAGCAGAAGTTTCCCTCTTTAAATAATCAAAAATACCCTGGAGAAGTATCTACATTGTTTCACAACAACGTCTGTCCCAATTTCTCAAGATAAACGTTCCAAGGTTGTTTTGTTTACTACAAGGAAATGGCCTTTAGCAGCATTTCTTGTTAAAATTTCCATTGCACAAAAACGCAGCAAATAGTGTTACTGAAGCACAGAATTTGCATGTTTTTTTCCCTCCAGCCATTCACGCAAACTGCAAATCACCCAAAGTTGTTGACAGACGCCATGATGCACTTTGCATTCTTGCCATATTTACCATTATTTAATCCAGATTCCATGATATTTATTATTTAAAACTAAACTTTATTTCACAATCACTCTATGTTTCACTTCACCAAAATTATTTTACTGATCAAAAGACTTTCCACTCATATCATGCTATCTCCCATAGTACTTCCGCAGACACAGCGGCGATCGCCAACATAACTACAAATAACCTCGCTCCCAGGAGCTGAGGAATAACTCATACTCTTTTGAGATTATTATTCGAGATTTGGTAGTTAAGGCCCAGTCACTCACGATGTTTTCGATGACTCCTATTCCAGTAATTTTCAAACACTAAAGTGTTTTTTACTTAATTGGCGACATATGTAAATGTGCGTGAAGCAAATGAAAAAGTGACATGGTTGATACCTTGAAATACACAAAATGCTGAAGTAATTTAAAAACCGTATCGTAATTATACATAATTATTTCAACATTATGTATTGGATTTTATTCTTGACCATCAAAACTAAACACGAAATATAAAATATGGCGACACAATAAAAACTTTATTTTTGCATTGGCTTATAATGTATCTGTTTGTATCATTACATATAATTTATTCACGCACTTCCATGTCGTAT